TTGAAATGATGCGATGGGACAGGCGGGTTACTGGTGGGTTGGACATGGGGGGGGGGGGGGGGCAACGGCGTTTCAAGTAGATGGTTTGGGCACAGCACAGAATAACGTAGCATTTTGGAACGATCCATCGACCTGGATATATGCCACGTTTATTTGATCGCAGGTAGCCTGTCAGACTTCGTGCTTGGTGTTTGGGAAGACAGTGGAAAACAGCAGGCGTGGAATATATGAAAATTTCTCATGAGAACAAAGACTTGATTCTGTTTTCTTGTCGGGAGCACAAAATTACCTTAGTAGTCGGCGCGCCCTAAAACCCTAATTATCACCATCACTGTTATCTTATCGATGGTTTGCCAATGGCTGGATATCCTGGTCTACCTGAGGGGGGGGGGGGGGGGGGAAGAGGGAGGGATAGGCATATGCCCCACTTACCTCTCGTGTGGAAAACGACGCCCCAGCTAAACGTGGCATACATATGATGTAGCTGGTACTGCTGGCACGCGCCATCATTGATCTTCTGCCAGGGCGTTGTGGTTTTCGGCCACTTCAAGTAGCTGGGTCATGTTGCGCCCGCGTCGCCGATTGTCGGCCCGGTGTGGGCGCCCAGCCCCCGGGCGGTGGGCGCGGGTCAGCTCCCGCCTGAAAGCGCCCGTCTGCTGTGCGCCGGCAGCGTGCTGCAAACGGACGAGGAGCTGCGGGTGGGCATGTACAAGGCGCTGGAGGCGGTGAAGGCGCACGAGGAGGCCTGGCCCTTCCTCGACCCCGTGGAGGAGGAGTACGCGCCCAACTACTACGCCGTCATCCGGCGGCCCATGGACCTCAACAAGCTGGAGAGTCGGCTGGACGCGGGCGTGTACCAGACCCGCGAGCAGTTCGAGGCCGACTTCAAGCTGATCGTCGACAACTGCAAGCTGTACAACGGTCTGGAGAACGGTGGGTGATGCGATCGACTGGATGTGTGGGGACGCGCATTGCACTTTGGTCCTTGGTTGACGCAAGGAGTGCGTAGACGCTACTGTATATGTTAAAGCTGAGTTAAGCTGTGCTGGCCAAATACGCCTATTAAATTGGTGATTCAAGCATTGTCTGGAGACGTCATTTGCAGGGTGAATGAGACATTTCGAATTATGTATTTGCTATCCGGTTTGGGAGACCTCTCTCCCCGTCGTGGGATGGTCCCCGCGATGATGTTCGTTGACAAATGCGTTAGCTGCTTGGTACTTTGCGGCGAAAAGGATCGTTGCATTTTCCTGGACGCTGCGCTTGTGTTAGCGTTTTGTCGTGGTGTCCGTCTGTCGTGAGACGGGCTCGTCCTTCGCGCGAGGCCACTCATTCCTCTTTCACCACCCGCAGAGTACACGGAGATGGTGGTGAACATCGAACGCGAGTTCCGCAAGGCGGTGCACAAGTACCTGGACATCGAGGAGGACGAAGACGACATCTTCATCGACGTGTCGCAGGTGCAGCCGAAGCAGCGGCGCGCGTCGCCGCGGCCGGCTACCGCCGGGCCGGGCAAGAAGCGCGGCCGCAAGCCCAAGGCGGCGGCGGCGGCAGACGGCGGCGAGCCGGGTCGCGCGGCCGCCGGCCGCAAGAAGAAGCAGGCTATGTTCATCGACTACAGCGACGACGAGCTGCTGAGCTCGCCGCGCTCCAAACCGCCGACGGCCGAGGACGCCGAGCGGCTGTTCGAGGACCTGCTGAAGACGGCTGCGTCGCCGCCGGCGCCGGGCCGCGGGCCACTCGCCGCCGCCGCCGCCGCCGCCGCCGCCGGCCGCCGCGAGGAAGATAGGCCAAGGGCCGCGGCCGGGCGGCCAGCGCCGAGCCGCCGCCACCCTCGGCGCCGGCGCCGGTGCCGGCGGAGGCGGACAAGAGAAGCGTCACCGTGGCCGGGAAAAGGCGGCAGAGCGCGGCTCGAAGAGCGCCGGACCGCCGCAGGAAGTCGCAGCACATCGACAGCGACGTGTCCGACATGGACGATGACTCATTCATTCGACGGCCTAGCCGAGATGAGCTCTCGGCGTCGTGCGGCCGGACGAACCGGAGGCGCCTGCGCCGCCCCCTCCCCCACCACCACCGCCGCCACCGCCGCCGGCCGGCCCGGACCTCGACGAGGATGATGATGACGACGACGACGACAGCGAGACGGGGTCGCCCAAGAAGATGATCGCCCAAGGTCGGATATTCGCCGCCAAAATGCGGCGGAAGAAGGCAGAACGGCAGGCGGCGCCGCAGCGGCCGGCGGCGCCAGTCAAGTCGGCCCCGGTCAGGGCGACCCCCGCCGTCGCCAACCGCCGCCCGCCGCCGCCTTCCGCCGCCCCAAGTCGGCGCCCGCTGCCGCCTGCCATCCAAGGTCGGCGCCGGCGCCGGCGCCCGAGAATGCATCAAGGCAAGCGGGACAGGAGCAAACAGCGCGCGCCGGCGGCGGAACAGGAGCGGCCGCCCGGCAAGAGCAAGGAGAAGGGCAGCAAGAGGTCCCGCTCGCAGAGCAAGGACAAGAAGGAGAGCAAGCGGAAGAAGAGGAAAACGCACGGCAAGGAGAAGAAGGGTCACACCGTGCCAGAAGAAGTGGACAGCGTCGAAAAGGTGGGTGCAGTGACGTGGGTGTGTGGATGTGTATTGGTCTCTGTTGGGCATCCCTGTGCGTGGAATACGTAGACTTCATTGTGTGAGTCAGTCTTCTGTGGCTTTGCTGGCATTATGGATTACAAAATTGTTATGCCGAAGGGCCTCTATTGTGTTATGTGCCGTGGAGTTTAAGTGGACTTTTAGCGAAGCTCCCGAAAGCCCCAGAAAATACTACTACGACATGTCGATATTCCTCAGCTTTGGTAGGATAGGGAATTGTCTTGTGTGTTGCTTTTGCTGTAGAAGGTTCGATCCGTGTAGAGTTGTCGTTTGCTGACAGCAGGGTATGCTGGGTGTCATTCTTCGGCTCCTACTTTTCCGATATTCTTCAGGCAGTGAGCGTAAAATTTTCGTTGGGCTATAAGCTTTTGTTAGTTTTCATCCTCAGCAATGTTGCGTTTCATCTTTTACCTCACTGTGTACCGTCGCTTGTGAAGCCGGGCTGGCATCGCGCCGTTAACTGCCTTTCCAGTCCCCTAACCATTGACCACCATGCTCGCGAACTCGCAACTGTGCTCTGCCCTGCCGCCATGCTGCGCTCTGCGTGCTCAGTTGTGCTTTGCACCTGTTCATACCGTAGTCGCTGATGAGCTCTCCTGCGTTGGAGGCACCCCTTTACGTCTGTGTGTTCTATCCCACGTCTCTGGCCGTGTTCGCCGCCAGCCAGCGACCGTGTCCGTGCTGACGCGGTCTCTCGCTGCCGTTGCAGGAGGAAGAGGCGATCAGTCCGAACGCTGCTGACGCCGGCCACGCCGGCCAGCCCGGTTGTCGAGCCCAGAGCCGAAAGCCCAAGTCAAAGCCGGAGTCCAAGCCGAGGCCGGGGCTGGAACCAGATCCGGAACCCGAGCCGGAAGCGGAACCGGAACCGGAGAGCCGGAGCCGGAGCCGGAGCCGGAAGCCGGAGCTGGAGCCGGATGACGAGTACGCCACGCTGCCGGAGCCGCTGCCGGCGCGGCGGCCGTCGTCCGGCTCCGATGCCGAGGCCGAGCTGCGGCCGCGGGAGCGCGACAAGCGCCGCGACCGCATCCGGCCGCAGGACATCCCTGCGGCAGAAGAACGCCGCGCTCAAGGATGCCGCCGAGCAGAAGCAGGCCAAGCCCAAGCCGCTCTTCAACAGCCGCTCCATATCGAAGGAGGAGAGCGCCAAGCTGGGCCAGCTGATCTCGCGCGTGCGCGAGTCGCGCGGCGGCGGCACCACGCTGCTCTCCAACGGGCCCGGTCTGACCATGGGTAAGGTGCTGGGCGGCGCTGTCGAGCGCGACAAGTCCGGCGCAGAGATCTGGGAGGAGATGGTCGGTCGCCGGCTGAAGGCGGAGCCGGCTCCGCCTGACCGGCGGCGCAGCGGCGGCGACGGCGACGACGAGCCGCTCCGACTGATCGCCGAGCCCGATGGAGGGCCGCGAACTGCCGTGCTGCGGAAGACGGCCACGCCCAACCTTAGCGCCTGGTTCCACGCGTTCCGCTCGCAGAAGGAGGCGGAGCCGACGCCGCCGCCCGCGCCGCTGGCGCGCGTCAAGAAGCCGCCGCCGCCGTCGCCGTCACCGCGGGAGGAGCCCAAGACGCCGCGGCCGCCCCCGCCGCCGCCCACGCCGAAGGAGGCCGAAGAAACCGGCGGAGGAGGCGGCCGCGACGGCGAAAGAGGCGCCGGCGCCGGCGGCGGCCGCGACGCCGGCGGCGCGTGAGGAGCTGCCCAACCGGCCTCGCCGTCCACGTCCGCCTGGAAGCGGGCCGGCTCGCCGCAGCCGCCCGGCCCTGCGCCCGACGCCGACCCGTACAAGTACGACGACGACGAGCTGGAAGAAGGCGCGGCTGCAGGTGAAGGCGCGCGAGGCGCAGCGACTCGAGAGTGAGAAGCGCCGCCTCGAGTCGGCCAGCTCGCAGTCGCCGGCGCAGCCGGACGCCAAGTCGCCGTTCTACCAGACCAGCTCGGAGAGCGAGAAAGTCGCCGATGACGCCCGGCTACGGTGGTATCGTGTCGCCGGCGATGGAGTACCAGAAGTCGCCGGCCTTCTCGCCCAAGCAGCCGCCGTCGGCCGGCTTCGACACGGCCAAGTACAACGGTGGCGTCAAGCCTGGCTTCTACCAGGACATGACGCAGAAGACGGCCAGCCCGGACAAATCGCCGTACCGGCGGCCCGGCTCCGTGGCCAGCACGCACTCGCCGGCCTCGGTGGCCGGCAGCCCGGCGTACCAGCCCAACAGCCCGCAGGTAGGCCCGGCCCGCGGCCGCCTTCTCCGGCTACTACCGGCGGCGCGCACAAGGAGCTGCCGGCAGCCGGCGCTACCGCCAAGGCGGCCGGTCAGCTGATGTCGCCGCCGAGCCGGCCGCCAGGCCGCGCCGCTCCCTCGCTCGCCAGCCCGGACCCGGCGGCGCTGCTGCGGCCCGCCGACGACAAGCCTGGCTTCCCGTTCAAGAAGCGCGTGCAGGCCGACCTGGCGCTGGTCGGCCAGGCGTACGCCCAGCCGCAGCCGGCCGCCCAGCAGCCGCAGCCGTACCAGCAGGCGCACAGCAAGCCGCAGTCGCAGCCGGCGGCGGCGGCGGCGGCCGGCTACCAGCAGCAGCTGGCCAGCGCGTTGCCCGGCAACCTGGCCGACCTGTCGCAAGCTGGTGACGCGGCTGCCGCAGCAGGAGGCGCGCGACAAGGAGGCGACGGCCGGTGCGAGCCTCACCACCGTCGAGGAGACGGCGGCGGCCGCCGTGTCGGCAGCTGCCGCCCGCCAGCTGCTGCAGCGCCAGAAGGGCCAGCAGCTCGAGCACCAGGTGCGGCTCATTCAGGAGCAGAAACAGAAGCAACAGAGATGGCCGGCGAAAGGCAGCAGCGGAGAAGAAGCAGCAGTTGCAACAGCAGCAACAGCAACAGCAGCAGCAGCTGGCCAACAAGGTGGGCCGAGCAGCAGCTGGCTCAGCAGGCGGCCGTCTCAACCGCGAGCATGTCTCCCAGCTCGTGGGACGCCAACTCGGTCTCCTACTTCAAGCAGATGGCCAGTCCGCACATGCAGCTGTACCACCAGCAGCAGCAGACGATGAAGGCATTCCAGCAGCAGCAGCAACAGCAAGAACAGCAGCAGCAGCAGCAGCAACAGCAGCAGCAGAGTCTGGAGGGCGGCGGCAAGTCGGGCTGGCAGCAAAGCGGCCACCACCACCAGCTCGTCGGCGTCTGGCCTCAACCTGGGCGGCCTCGGCGGCCTGGTGGCCGGCGCCGGCTACAACCCGCTCGGCCTGGCCTCCAGCTTCCAGGCGCACTCGCTGGGCGGCAGCACCTACCCCTACCTGCTGGGCCAGTCGCGCTCGCCGCAGCCGGCGCACCAGAACTTCTCGCAGACGCACGCGTCGCTGTCGCAGATGAGCGGGCAGGCGCGCGGCGCGGCCGGCTCGCCGCACAGCTCCCAGGCGTCGCTACTGCCGCCGTCGCCGTTCGGCGCCGCCTCGCGCAGCTTGCCGCTCACCTCCGACCCCATGTACCAGCAGTACTACCGGCAGCAGGAGGAGCTGCTGCTGCACCACCAGGCCGGCGCCGCCATGATGGGCCCTGATGGGCCGCCGCCGCCGGCGGCTTACCCGCCCGGCTACCCGCACCTGCCGTCGCTGCGCCAGGCGCCCGGCTTCCAGCCGCCGGGCGGCGTGTCGAGGGTCGCCCTTCTTCTAGCGGGCCCGCGCGCCGGCCGCGGGCGCCGCCGGTCGGCAGGCCGGCCGGCTCCGCCGCGTACAACTACCTGTGATACCCTGCGTTTTTTTTTTTATTTTGTATCCGATGTTGTGCCGGACACGCGCGAACGTGCGATTATCATCATCAGGTCTTAGAGTTTGCCAGCGTTTGCGCGCGTGGGAACTACCCAGGGGGCCTGTCGGGACGCGGTCGTATGGGTCTTCCCGATCAAGAGCCTGACGTGTAAGCATATGCATAGTGACTAGGTGCATGGAGCTTGTATTATCTCTGTACAGGAGTTGCACCTATAGCTGGAGTTTAGCATGCGTTCATGTTGTCCGCCAGTTGTTTTAGGAGCAGTATTGCGTTGTTTTACGGCCGCGGTTCGGTTCGACGCATAACCGAGGTGGGGGAGAGGCGGGCGCCAATGCACCGACACCATTGTGTTTGCAAGTGACTTGACTCATGCGCGCCGGTCATCCTCCATTCACAAGTCTCATGTGGTGTACTCTGGGGTTTCCGTCTGTCCCTGTTTTGTTTGATAGATCTCATTGTGGCCTGGGCAGCACTGATCATTGTAGATAAGCGTACGACAAAAGCGTGCAGTGTGAACGTTTTTTACAATGTTAATGTATGCATATAAAGCCAATATGTCTAGAGGCCATGTTTCAGACCGTGGGGAAACTGAACCCGGAGCGCCGAGCACACGGCGCATATTACAGTGACTTGTAACGACGTTCAAACCCGCTGCTATACCTTGTTCTCAGTCAAAGCGTTTATTACATCTAGCATCACAGTTGGTTGCACAGTCGCTATATGTTTTCGCAATAAATCTCGCTGCATCCATCAACATGCGTCACTAACTAGCCGCCTTCCAGATATTGCCGATTAATTACGCTCGCAACATAACACGTCTTTGGTCTTATATCAAGAGAACGAGTCCGCACATCACATCGCGCCCCTCCGCCGCGGCCGTCCGCCGCCGCGGAGCTCGCAGCGCGCCGAAACCGAGCCCGGCGCGCCGCGCTCGCCGCACGCGCGCCCTCGGAAGCCAAGCCACAGGCCCGAATAAATAGCGACTGGACCGCAGTCAGGCGCCGCCCTGCCGCGAACCGAACCAAGACGGCGGGCCGGCCGGACAATCACAGGTCAGCTGGGATCACGGGAGCGCTGTTTGACACCGGCGGGGGCGGCGTCGCACTCAGCTGGCGCCCTTCCCCCGCTTCGCCTTGGGCAGCAGGTGTCGCAGCTTCTGCAGATTGGTCTTGGTGATCTGCAAGCGGCACAGGCACGCGTCAGTTGCGCACAACAGCTTGTCGGCGCACGTCGTCCAGAACCACCGCATCAAGCCCACTCGGCTAAACAACGCAATCTGTCGTCTACCACGTCCTTGCACACGTCTAGTGTTGAATGCCGCTCCCGCAAAAATAAGTGGTGCGTCCTTCACATGAAGGTTCACGGCAGGGACAGCCTAAACTGGCGCATTCGTGGCGAGCCGGCCGGCCCGTCTCGGCCACCGGCCTGTGGCGCTGGCGGCAGCGGCGGGGGATCCCTGCCCTTCTCACCTGGTCATCGGGCTTGATCTGCAGGGCCGCCAGGTAAGACTGCTCGGCCTCCACCAGCTTGCCGTTCACGTGCAGCATAGCGCCCAGGTTCATGTGGCTCGTGGCCTCCTGCCGAACGGGACGGACAGCGTAGAAGAAATTGAGGTGGGCCGGGTGACAAACACTAGCGTGCCTACACCAACAACCTCCGGCACTCGCTCTCGACAACGAACGACTCGCGAAATGCGTTGAAAGATTGCGGCGGGGAAATATGGAAAACAGTGAGACCCTCGACGTTCTTTTATCACTCGCAACCTTTCCCGCTGCTAGGGTGATACGCCGCACTTCTGCTCAGTTGTATGAGCGCAGAAACCTCAGGCCTTAGTGTTCCAGCCATTGAAGACCAGTCTATGCCGGAGTCCAATCCAAACCCACGCTTCTGAACTCGTCCGTGCGCAAATGGATAGTGCTCCGCCGCGGTTCTCACGTTAGGGCGTAGGCGCACGGCGATGCGGTAGTAGTGTTCGGCCTCCTCATTGCGCGCCGCCTGGCGGAGAATGTTGGCGGCGTTGAAGACCATCTCGTACTCGTGCGGCGCTAGTTCGGCGGCGCGCCGGTAGATGTCGGCCGCGAGCGGCAGCCGCTCGCCGTCGGCCAGGTGCTGTCCTGTCGGCGGTCGGCGGAGGGCGGTCAAGTGATGGATGGAGGGGCGGCGCGCGCAGCACCGCAAACGCCGGACGCCGACAGGACCAGCACGCACCGGGGCCCCGGCTCGAGCGCAGGGCAGTCTGCTCCGCGGCTGCGTGGATTGATGGGAGTGCCGGGTGACACTTCGGGGCTGTGGTCAGCTGGATCGATTTGGTGGGTTTCATGAAGCCGTTAACTGGTGTGGGATTAGGATAATTACACCGTTTAGGAGGATGGGCGTGTGACACTGACTAAGTGTTCGGACACGTACGGACGTAAACACGATCAATCGTACCAAGCAAACCGCAGATCTCCCATCGCGCTTAGAAGGCTTAATGGACTTCAGTGCAGCCCTTACAAATTCAATAGACCAATTTCTTAACTCTTGAAATCCCCACTGCATACATATGTTGGCTCCTAAGCTCTAATCTGTTAGATGATGGCGCACAACGAAGTTGAATTTTATACAAGAGGCGAGCGGCTGTTGGTATTTACGTCACATGGCGACGTACGTCGCGTCACGTCACGCTGCGTTACTATGTTACGTTACGTTACGTTGTGTCACGTCACGAGACACTTAGTGTCCAAGTGTAATCCAAGCTGAACGTGAGCTTAACAAGGGAGCTTCAGCCAACTTTTAAAAAGCTTTGATAAGTGGCAGTCATATCCTTGACAATTTCCAACTGCATCCACGTGCCGTACTGAGGCAACACTCAACGGCTGGGAGCAGTAGGGAAATCAAATTACTGAATTCGGGAAAAACGAAAGGCTACATGAGCCACGTCTATGCTATGAGCATGCTCTTGGCAGATGGAAAAGTGTTGCACTGGGCTCAGACTGTTTCAGCTCAGACACGCATCATCATCGTAATCCGTCGCAGGACGTGTGTGTAGCAGGTACAATTACACGATACACATACCAGTCTAGCTCAGACCAGCTGCAGTGAAAAGACAGACGACGATTCGCAATAATGCGACTGAATATTCACCTTAAAAGCGGCGCATAGAAACAAAGCGCTATCACGCAAAGGGCAACAATGAACGGAAGCAGCTGCTGCGCCAAACACAAGGGCAAGACAATGACGCGTTTGCGAGGCTGAACCAGACCACACGACCCGTCACGGTGAACGCGGCGGAGCAGCCGCGCTCAACGCGCCAAACGCCAGTCCATCAAGTCTCGGCCGGCCGGCTCGGCGCCTTTGCAGGGCACTCCTACGCCTGCAAAACAGCACCAAGCGAACAATGGGGCGGGCCGGCGAGTTCCGCGGCGCAAATGCTCCGTGTGTTCCGTGCATCGTTTCCGCGAGACTCCAGATGCGCCGATAGGGGACAGCGCCGGCGTCGGCGGCCGATTCAGCCGTCGAGGGGGTCCGGTAAGCCGACAGCTGTCGTGAGGCGGCCGCTCGTCGCAGCCGCACGCGCACGGCCATCGGCCACATCTGGGGCAAACAGGAAATTTCCACCCTGGATTCCGCCAGTCTGCAAGCAAATATGCTCTTTTTTCCTGTTCGCGCGATAATGATTGCATGAAGCCCGATGCGAACTCACGCCATCTGATACGCTAGTTAGGACTGCACGACGGAGGAATATTAATTGTTCCTTGTCAAGATACAAAATGGGCGGCAAAACATCAGCTTTGGACGATCGAGGGATGAGGCGACGAGCTCTGTCGGCAAAAGCACGTAGGGATAAAAGTGACTTTGATACGCAGGATGGCAACAGAGTAAACAAAGTGAGGCACCATAGGATTCATTACGAGATGAAGACACATTATGTGAATGAGGACCTTATTTTGTGCCAAATATTGCCAATCCACAACTGATGAAACGCTCTCCACCAGTTTCTGTGCTACAAACTCCGCTTAGAGTCTTAACTCATGGATGGAAATGAACCGCAAAGAAGGACTGCTTGCATTTACAGAAATCTAAATGCGGTAAGACCTTCGCAAGGTTACAGCGTCACAGCCGAATATAAAGTGAGTCAGTTTTCCTTGATCTAAGAACCTGCACCTCCCTTAAAAAACGACGCAGAGTAAGTCCGCTTTTTGACGTAGGCATTCAAAAGTCTCGGGAAACATTGCACGCCAATATCATGCACCTAATTTGGAATTCGTGGGTAGGAACAACGCGGACAAGCCTCGCGTGCAGCGTCGAGCGTCGAAATGTCTTCTAATGGAGCCTGGACCGCCTGTAGAACTAGCGATTTCCAGTCAGTGCAGGAGTGGCTCCCACTGCGATGCACTGATTGCAGAATGAAACAATTCCACCGGCAGCCGGCGGCACCATAACAATAGCCATCAGCCTGCTGCAGGTCCAGCTCCGGCTCCGTGGAGCCGATTGCGGCCCGCTGTTTCGGCGAAAAGATCGGGAGCGGCGGCGCTGGGCGTCGGCTCCACCTCCGCCAGCCGCTGCGCTGCCTGAGCGCCGCCCGCCGCCGGCAGCCTGGGAGCCCACCGCCAGCGGCGCCGCCGCGGGGCTCGCAGTCGGAGAAACGGCGCCGACCGGTGCGCCTGGCGGCCAAGGGTGCGGCCGCCCGGCCCGATGGTCTCCAGTCACGGAAACGCTCCGGCCCGGCTCGGCAGAGGAGCGGCTCTCAGCGGGGCCGGCGCGGGGTGTGGTCAAGCGGGGCCGACACTGAGGCTGGTGTCCGCGCGCCGCGTCCATCGCCGGCGCTCTGTCCGTGTACCTTGTTCACTGGTGTCCTTGTTGCGAGGTGTTCGGTGTCACGGGCGAGGCCGTCACAGCTCGGCCGGGTCGTGCGGTGTGCTGTTGCAGGAAGCCGTCTTGCCTTATCATGCCAAAGAGCATGGCACCTACTGTATTCCGGCTTTCGTGCACAGGCCCATCGGGCTAGGGGGGATAAGTATGTATCCTGTCATCACCTCACAGGGCCACGGAGGTGGGGGGGGGGGGGCCTCAGCGCCCGGCACTCCTCCAAACGAGGCCCGCCCACCGCGCGTCACGTGCTGCGGGCGTGCAGGAAAGCCGGGTGCCCCGCCCGCCGACGTGTCCCCGTCCGGCAGATTACGTCCGCCACGTCCACCGACTGCCGTGGAGCCGTGCCATAGATCACGCGCGACGTCGGCCGCGGGCCGGCCGGCGCCGTCGCCGGCCCTGATTGGCGCGGGAGGAGGGGCATGAGTCTGCAACGCCGCTTATCCAGCCCACGGCCGGGATGCAACATGGGAGAGGCCCCACGCGGCGCGGCGGCCATTTTCTTTTGCGGCGTCGGCCGGCGGGCCGGCTCGGGGAGGGCGGCGGAATGAAGAAGGCGGCGGCGCTCAGGGGCCGGCTCGGGCCTGAAGGAACGAACATTATGTGGACCGGGGCCCGACGGCACCGGAAACGACCCAGAAGCGGTCGAAAAGACGAGCCGGAGTGATAGTCCCAATCGGGTCCGGTTGGTGAGATAATAAATGCCTGAGGTCATTATTACAAGAAAAATGCTGTCCCTGATATCATTTTTTCACTTCCGTATCAACTTATTCGTGTGACAAGCAGCTTCCGCAAGGAATCTATGGCATGAATAGTATCGAAATAATATTTCCTTTCGCATGCATTCTTACGAGCATCTGTTAATGAGACAGAATGGCAACGCACCGTGTGGGAACAGTTCGGTCGCTTTGATACTTTATTCTACAGCAATTGCCTTCAACAGGTGCGGTAGGCAAAGGCTCGCAAGCCTCGTATTCCACGATCTTACATTCTCTTAAAAGCGAAAATGACAAAATAGCTTCGTTCTGCTGCTATCCACAATTGCATCTTTTGCCCTATACGCCCGCCATTTTTAAAATAAAATTATGCGTTATCCGGCGCAACAACAGCTGGCATCGTTCTCAACTGAGCTGTAACGTAAGTTTAGTGACATCCGGAGACGAAAGCTAATACTGCTTTAGATGTCTCCAAAACCCGAAACACAGTAATATTAGGATGTTTTTTTCCAGGAAAGCAAAATATAAAACAGCTCCAATATGTTCACAACAAGGTAAAAAACGATACAAAATAATGGCCTCTAGGAAATATCCATCCGCCGAAAACAATAGTCAAAAACACGCGTTGATATCTTCATGACACAGCATTCAGAACATACCGCTGTTTACAGTCAAGAAAATCGGACGGATCATTACTTTGCATCTTTTTCGCCACATTTATATGTGACTTGAGTGATTCTAATGTTGGTAAAAATAATAAGTTAAATGATCTTGCTTTGAATGATGTCTTGATTTGAGAAAGACGATCAGCGTCAAAACGGCAAGATGGTGAGTGTGTTTGTCAACCACTGTAAAGGAAAAGAGCTCATCTCTTCGCTGTCAACTGAGTATGCATGACATAATCGAAGGCATGTGCCAAGTATGCTGGTGGTGGCATAGTGGGCCGCAGATGAGCGTCTGATATCTCAGCAAAGGCCGGGCCGATGTATCGGTCATGAAGTAAAGGTGTAACGGCGAGAATGGCGCGTCGATGTGGTGAGGCGACGGATGCCTTATCCACTAGATGCGACCCGGTGGTGCGAGTCCGGCTACAGCAGCGCACTACAACGGTTACTGCCGCTGCACCGCACCGGTTACTGCCACTGCATCGCACCGATTACTGCCACTGCACCGCACCGGTTACTGCCACTGCACCGCACGGTTACTGCCACTGCACCGCACCGGTTACTGCCACTGCACCGCACCGGTTACTGCCACCGCACCGCACCGGTTACTGCCACCGCACCGCACCGGTTACTGCCACCACACCGGTTACTGCCACTGCACCGCACCGGTTACTGCCACCGCACCGGTTACTGCCACTGCACCGCACCGTCCCCGTGGCTATGGTCTGGCACCAGCGATCCTCGTCCGGTCATCGAGGACATGGGCCGGCGTTTTCAGACGTGAGGGTCGGACCGACGGTGGTGGTGGTCATACGTGCTTACACGACATGGCGGTGTGTGGTCCTGACAATATGGACAGATCGGACTGTCAGGCGGATCTGGCAC